AGTATAACTATAATATGTAACATTCAAACCTGCACTAAATAATTCATAGAACCAGTCAGGGACATTTTATATCCAGATGTACATCATAGCCAGCATTTAGCTGTAGCATATACAAAAACACAAAGAATAAGACTATATAAAATCCTCACGTTGACCTCCTTTACAGAGAGCATATTCTGTATAAATCAAACTCAGCAAAGCATGCATACTGTAATTGCTTTCATCTACCCAGTATTTTTATTCCCCAAATATAAACTTTCTCAATAAATCCACCAATTAATTTTTACTGACTCTTCCTGATGGAGACTTGGGCCTGAAAGTTAGTGTTTGTGTCTGGATCCTTTTTAACTTCTTTTTTTATGACTCATACCTATTACAAGTTTGTATTTATTAACCACAGAGGGATGTGTGACTAATGTCACTATTGATAATACCTAGTAACTGCTGAGGAACCAAAACTATGAACTAGGTCAGGAAAAACTAGCTCAGTTACTCCCTCTTCTTTATTTATTCTGGATATAAAATAAATACCACAGGCTTCAGGATGGTCATTTGAAACTTTGTCATTGTACTCTTAGAATTCCACCTCAATTCTGTTCGTGTAAATGGAAAAAATTAGAAAATGTATGGTGTAGAGTGAACATGTACAATAAATGGGTATGTATTGGCTATGAACCTTAGGCAAATACAAAGATGATTATTACATCATTTTTAGATTATTATAACTAGAAGTCAAAGATATGAAAGGTGAGGTTTGGAGTGAACTTAATCTATGAGGAAAAACCCATATATTTTGTTAAGACCAACTTCACTTACAGGTGCAATACAGAGAAACCAACCAATGGATCAGATAAACTTACAATAACTGAAAACTGGACACTGAACTGAGACAGTGAGAGGGGGATAGTTGAGAACAAATGGGAACAGAGTGCAGTGGACTATTCTTATGGACTATGATGTTGGCATATGGGTGTTTTGATGGTAGATGTGTTTAAGGCAACAGCACCTAAAAGGGAAATCTACACTTCTACAAGGCAATGATGGAAACCAATGTTATCTCAATCATTTTTTTAAATAGACTAACTTCTGTAGTCTATATTACCATTATTCGAGCACTCATTGACATAGAAACTCTTGCCAAGGTTTTTTCTTTTAATCATTATTAACATATTTCCTTCAAAGAGTCTAAATTTGTATCATTCCTCAAGAAACATTAATAATAAAAATTTTGGTTATAAAGTATTTTCACTGATAATGTTGTTTCATTCAATCCTCTTAAAAGCCGGTAAGGAAAATGCTAAAAATCACCAAATGGAGGCACATTTATCATAATATAAATGGAAGGACAAGAGCCTTCATTTTGACTTCAAATTTTAAGCTCTCTGAACTGTGACAAATCTGTATTTAATTGGTTATAGTATCAAAATATAGATAAGATTAACTAACATTCTATTCCACTTTATATATGGATATATATTCACTCAAATCTGCTTTTATATTGTCAGCATATTTTAGGAATGATCTTCTGCCATATCCATTCCTGTTTTACTTATCTCCTTTCCAATCATATCTACTTAAGCAGTCATTTTTCTTGACACGTACAATATGTCATTCTGTATGGGGACTCTGAGCACCTACTCCACCTGCCAAGCTCACTTATTTAATTCCTGGGGATTTCCACATGTACTGGGATTTCTTCTTTGACACAGGACCTTACTTATTTGTTGTTTTCTTCTACAAGCTCTGCTATCACAAAAGTTATTTTTACCTTCTCTCTAACCTCTTTAATACAGGATGGTGAAAGATAAGGAGAGAACAGACATCAACAGAGAGAAGTAGCTAAATCCAGCAGGACTCCATATCCTCCATCTTTTCTCTCCTTCATTTCTGTCCTGAAGATCATGGGTTTTTTTCAAGGAAATCCTTCAGGTGGACTATTCGAATTTTGTGAAAGTCACACCAACAATGTCCTCTTTAGGAAACTAGCTATAATTCACAACTATTCACACAGTTTTAAGTACTTGCCTGGTATAATTAATCTCAATCCAAATCTTAAATGAAAATTACTACATATCAGGATGGTATTTTACTATTTTAATCTTTGTTATATATGTATTTGTTAATACAATATCTAGTACCTCTACAACACATTAATAAAATATATATGCATTGCCTCAGCAAGAGTAAACACCTCATCTTTGTATCCATTATGCTTGCCCTAGATTAGGACATTTGCTTAATATTTAAGTTGCAAACTCACTGAGAAAGAAAAGGGAGGAATTAAAGACTGTCCTACTGAAGGAGGAGGTCAGTAGGGCATGAGCTGGAAGAGACTCCAAATGTGATACCAACTGGCTGTCTCCCTACCTCTCTGCCTTTTCTCCCTTTTATTCTTCATGATCTCCTCCTCTCCAGCCCTGTTTAAGAACATGCCCCTTTAGAGATAAAGATGATAGAGAGGAAAGGGACAATTCTCAGGTACATTATCAAACATTTTTATATAATTTAACTCAGCCTTTTTATGTGATACTGAAACTTTACCATCTGCTTTGGAAAGGACACTAAAGCTGTAGTCTCAAATGCCATCTTGAATGTGGAGAATACAGGAAAAATGATTACCCTTCTCCCATACAGTATGCCATTACTACAAAATGAACTCCAGGGTTAATACATCTGCAGGGAGTTTACTGGCATTCTCTACTGGGGGTCAGGCAGCATTGTAGATTTGCTATGTTACTTATATCTAATACTGCTTCATTTAAATTACCCTGCACTTATTTATAATATGAATCACCTAGTTGACCCATTATTGAAAATTTACCATTACTAAGGTCATTTAAATGAGCAAAATATTACACTGTGAAATTCCCTATCCCTAGTTTTTGAGCACCAAAGTATCCACTGAAGTCTTCAATACAGAGAGGTATATGGGTTGACCATGTTGTATTGATGGAACTGAAGATTCTTGCTCTGACAATCTGGGCTTACTCTTTCAATGAGGCACCTGTGCTACATTAAGCTTTTGCTGCTTCAGGTGGCCTCGCCAGCATGATCTCTTTGATTGACTTTGCTGAATAAATTGCACAAGGGAGAAGATTCTATTTTCAGGTAATTCTACACTGTCTTTGTATAAAAACACAACATTGCACATATTCAGCTAGTGCCATAAATCAAAGGTTAAGGAAAGTCAAAAGGAACTCTGGGAGTTTTCAGTCTAATGTCCACATTGATATTAGCAATTCTCCCACACCAGTGAACACAACTCATAATCAGTCACAGTTATTCCTTTGAGAGAGAGAGTGTGAAGATGAGAGTAATAATACCACAGGCAATAATTTAGCTGCATTAGAGGGTTTTGTATGCTTTGACCAAACTCTAAGTTCTCTAGTCAAATATGAAAATGAGATATCTTGGAAAACGTATTGATAATAAACTAAGGAAAAACCCTAGACCTAAAAATGAGGTATAAAATGTTAAGGCCAGGTAGTGTAGAATGGTAGCTTGCCCAAACTGGCAGCTTATACACCTGTCTACATTAAAAAATTAGATTTATTATATCCTTATTTGTCTATTTTCTATCACATCAGATTTTTACATTTTAATATATTTGATCATAACTTCTTAAAAATATGCATTTTAAAACAGCCATGATACATCTTTACAAATCAAATGACTTGTGCTAATGTTAGGTACCATATTTTATGCTTTACAAATTCAGTGTCAATGTATTTCTTAAATGTATGTTACCTACTGAGAAGTTTATCGTCAACCAATTTAAGGAAATATTCAAAGATTTTAGCTACTGCCAAAATGAGAAATTTCTAGTCGAAATCAGCTAATCATTATCCATCCAGTGAAAAGAAAAAAAAAAAAATCATGTCAAATAAAAAAGGCCTCCCTTTTTTTTCCTTCTAGTAAATGTTATACCAATATTTAAAAAAAAAAAAAATACAAGCTCTATTCTTTCTCCAGTGAGGAACAATTTAAAAGCTTATACAATGGAAAAATGTTCCTTATGTAAATTTCTCATTCTTGCATTTGTTATCTGCCTCAATGGTTGGTGATAATAGTTCTTTCCAGAAAATATATCACAAATTCCTTTGAAGTCATCAAAGTCACTTTCTCCAAGTGTGGTTTTAGTTTTGTTTGTTGTTTACAGGAAAAATCACTAAACCTATTCACTACTGGCTTTACTGACCCTGATGTAAAAGCTACCTTTTGATCATTTATTTATGACTAAATGCTGCTTTGCAAGACATCATTGCAGAATAAAATATTTAAACACTCTAACAGAGGGGATCTTCAGTAAAGCAATACAAATTTACATCAAAAAGATTAGATGTTAGTGGATATTATCTAACTTCAATCATTACAAGTCAGCTTACCAGGACTGTAAATAAACTCTAAATCCTGTTTTAGCCTGGCATAAAAAATTTTCTAATAGCCAATTCAACTAAAAAGCTAAATTGTATCAGTTATTAGTCATTTTAATCACGTGGTAGTTAATTTTGTTATCATGGGTAGGGAATCATTTTGCTTCACAGGAATTTTCTTTTCTTCTTCCTCTCACCCCCATTGTAGACTAAAAGCAAAACGCCAGTTGCACCTCTATTTCTAAAGCCCTTCCCCAACATCCTTGTTTCCCATAATACACAAATCTGTATTTAAATACTGCCAACTTGGTGGATTCTACTCAAGGCTATTTACAACCTGCTTCCTACCCTCCTCTGTTGTGTCTGCTATTGAGTGAACTTCTCATTAATAAAACCTAGTATTTACAAGACAAAAATAACATCTCTAAGTTAGCATGTGCTCTTGGACTGTTCTCAGATGTGCCAAGTATGACATTAATTAGAGGTATTCAGATCTTCTATCAGTTTTGCAATACATTTTTTTTTTCAGGTGCATTTTAAGGGTCAGTGAAGACCAAGTATGCTAAATGACTTAAATGGTTTTTTCTCTCTCTCTTTTTAACAAAAGAATCTGAAAAGATGACCTACCTTTATGTGACAGGCGTAACCTGGGGTGCGTGGTATCGGCTGTGTGAGCTCCCATCCAAAGCTGCAGGACACAACCCCACAGGAGCAAGGTGATAACCTGGCCGGCTGGTGCCATGCCGCCCCGTGCTCACCGAGCAAGTCCTCTGAGCCGCACTTTAAGGCGGTATGAGTTTTACTTAGGACTCCCCTCCAGGGGCAGCGTGCGAGAGGCTTTGTCAGAAATCGAATGCCTTGTCATCAGAAAGCACCATTCCAAAGTGCCATTTGTCAGACAGCACTTGGCTATGTAAAATCTTTCTTTCCTCAGGACAGTTGTTTGCAAGTAAGGAGCAAGAGGACATTCCAAGGAGTGAGTCTTCAGAGCCAGGTCCTGACTAAAGCTCTCTTCAGTAACTATGCCGGTGGACTCGGCAGAAACTGCATTTTTTCCGTCACTTCTGCAAAAGGTTCATTCAGAAAAAAGCCCCGAGCATACGCACTACCTTCACCCGTGGCGCTCTTGTCTTCTGACTGTTAAAGTCTCTTGCGCTGACTTGCCAAACAGCTAGTTTTAATTCACCTTTCACCTTGCTAATTAAAAACAAGAAGTGCCATTCCCTCCAGGAGTTGCAGGATCCACCCAGCAGGGATGCCTTTCTGTCAGCGTGCTGTTTACAGGGAAAGTTCAGGCAGGGTTGAGCAGCTTACTTGCTGTTTCTAGGAAGTGTTTCTGGTCCACGTGCCCTGCTCCCACCAGCCCTGCCAATATAACTGGTCCCACGTCACTCAGCACCCGTCCAGCATCCAGGCTTCAGGGGAAGGGGGGGCCTGCGGGGGGGGGAGCGATATATAATAGGCTGATTATATTTAAGAATGTGTTACAGAGAGAGGGATGTACTGTCGGGAAGGGTTTTAATGCTCACATACCAAGATTGAACCTTGAATAAATAGAAATCCACTGAAAATTATTTATCACCATCCTTTAACAAAATTGTTTTCAATATTTCCACTTAAGAGGTTTTTTTTTTTTTCTCTTTTTGTATTGACTTCATTTTAGAACTCTTGTAAAGAATACATGTTTCAGGAGCCCGGAAAAAAAATGTCAACTGTGATTTTTTTCATAGATGTATTTAACAAACTATTTTATACAGGCAAATTCTTCAACTCTATTAAAAGAAAATTCTTTTTTGAAAGCAAACCATAAAGTACACCTCAATTTTAAGAATAATTACATCTTGAACTTATGTTCTTATAGTCAAATAACTATGGTAAAGTAGATTTTCTACCCAACAGATTTTAGCAAAGCAGATATTTAAGAGCTCCGGATGTGAAATACCTCAGGATTCAACTGCTATGTACTTTCAGAGTTTATTTTTCAAGACACTATGTTTGTGTAAATAAGGCAACACAATAGGTCAACTTTACAGTCTACTTTCAATCAATCTCAAAAACTAAACCAAACACTCTGTAGCTGTTGACATGGAAATGAATGGTATTTTAAGATACCAATCAATTTGAACAGATATTTGATAGTTGAGCCTTAAATGGTGAACAAGTGTTTCAATTATTTCATATTTTGAATGGTAACAATTGAGGACACTTTTGAGAATAGTGTTTTCCAAATAATTTAAGTGCAGCAAAAATCTAAAAAAAGATTACTCTGATACTTTACATTTTATATGTAACTAAAGGTAGAGACAGGCATTTGCCACCCATTTTCCTAAGCAAGCTATGTTCTACTAAAGCAGGGTATATTTAGCAAAATGTAAATGTCACTAGATTTTATAAATAATTAGATTTCTAAGGTCTATAGCAGATAGCAAACTCTAAATATTATTTAACAGTAAAGCAACATGAAGTAATCAGAGATTTTTAACCTGGGGTGGTCTTAGGCACTTGCATATTTTAAAAGCCAGTCTGATGAGCTACAGACCTACTCATTGTTGTAAATGTGAAGTACTGTACTTTTAGAATCCTTTCTTACTTTCTTTCAGAGTTGAAGAAACTAGAAAGTAAATAGCTGCTTTTACAGGTGTTATCTAAGGGTTAGATTCCAGGAAAAGTAAATGTGCTATGTATAACTTTTATTATAAAGAATGGCTAATCTCATACTATTGAAATTCTACTTAAGATTGTATAGTACTTGTTCTTTTTTATGAAAGTGAAAAGCAAGACATTACAAGCATTTTCTTAAGATACAAAATTCACATTATTAAATGACTGTAGGGGAATAGATGTTAGAATGCCAGATACATATAACAAGCTCTTTATTGCTATTGATCTTCAGTTTTAAATGTTACATTTCAGATTAGGTTATGGGCACTTTGTTGTACACACCAGAAAAGTTGAGTTCATTTTGGCTCCTCAAAATGCTTTGGTTTATCCTCAGTCATCACTGTCATTGCTTATTTTCTTTAACTCTTATATATCCTTCTACCTTCTGATTACCTATGGAAAACACAGAGTTGGTGTTAAAAAAAAAAAGCTATTGAAATGACTAAATATCCAGAACTATCCATAGTCTCAGCTATCCTATGTGTCTTTAACCAATAGCAATGGGATAAAGCGTCTTTGGGATCAAATCAGTCCCTCACCTTATGCAATAAAATCAGAGGAATCCTCAGGTATAACGTCACCATATAAATTATCATATGAACAAAATATTTCTTTGAGAGTAAAAGTGGTTTCTATTAAATAATCATATACATATCAATAACATATAGACAAGTCAGAAGTCACACAGTTTGGAAGAGATTTCCAAGTACCTTTAGGAAACAATGGACTGGGGGGAAATTTAAAATCACTGACATACCACCAACAGTGGTTTACAGCTCTAGTGAACTGAGCATTGGGACTAGCAACAATATCTGTTCATATTATTTTGTTTAATTTGAGAGGAGTTAGACTACCAGTTAGAATAATATTAGACCATTGAGAACACTAGAGGAGAAAGGAAATGGCAATTCTGAAGGGGCTGCTTGCCAAGGAAAATGTCTCATGTCAAAATCTTCTCCCTTTGTTGCTCGTGGCATAAAATGGTAGTGTGAAAAAGGAGGGGAGCAAAGTGGACTGAACTCATCAGGAGTTGCAAGATCCCTAGTCGTGAATTCTATCATTGATACCACGGCTCTCTACAGTGGAAAAGCATCTGGTCTTTAAAACTATCATCTCAAGAATGTGATTTAGGCTATTCACTGCAGTTGATAGTAAAATACCAGATTTTTGTTTGTTTGTTTTTAGATTTATTTATTTGTGCATACAGAACTGGAGTACAAGCCAGAGGTGTAGGGTGGTGAGAGGATTCACCAGTGACAGAGAGGGGAGTAGAACAGGCAGATCAACCAAGTACACTGCTGAGGGGAACAGCAGGCAGGTCAGAAGAGGTCTGCTGTGCCATGTGGGTCACCTCTAGGGCTGGGGATGGAATTCACACTGAAGCACATATACACATGTATCTTTCTAGCTTTCAATGCTGTGTCCAAACCCATTGCACCACCAGGCAGGGCCCAAAATAGCAAATTTTTACATCTTACCACCTATTCTCAGTGTGCCTAGAGGTATATATTTTAAAATTTAAGTTTCACAGAAGTCCCTCTGGCTCGGTGTTGCTCAAACATTAAACATCTGCTTGCCACTTTCATCATTTTTACCATAACCGCATAGTATCTGCAATTAAACTATAATTTAAATTCAAATAAAATGGAACCATTACTTCATAGGCTTGATGAATTGCTTATATATTTCAAATACATGTGAAAATAAGCAAAAGTCATAAAATTTTATCTTTGTACTATTTAAAATTATTTCACATACTATGGCAGAGTATATTTAGTAACACCCTCAAAAATATCCATTTGTTTCTTTCCTTTCTGTCCATAAAGATACAAGATAAGCAGGTGTACATATACACATGTATCTTTCTAGACAGAAAGAAAAGAAACAAATATTTATATTTACATGTATGTGTGTATGTGTGCATTGTGTGTGTATATATATGAGATTACACTTCCTAGTTCCTTAACCGTTATTAAATTTTCGATTAATTCTGGACAAATAAATATGAACAAAAGTGATGTTTGTCACTTCTGAGGCAGTAAAATACTCCTAAGTCTGTGTCTCTAAAGTCTTTCAGTACATTGCTATGACTTGCACTGATTATGAGATTGACGAATTTTGGGTTGGGTTTTTGAATGAACAAATTGGGGACAGTTGACTTTTTAATCAACATATGTTATATTAAGCTGCTTGATTTATTTTTTGCCATAGTGTAGCACAGCCCCTTTGACTATAAGTACACACTTTATCTTTTGTGCTTTGGTAACATTTTCTTGGACAAATGTATAACATGAACAACTTACTGACATGGAATACCTTCCTATCATTAAAACTTACTTCAGAAGTTACTAATATAGATAATGAGGGATGTGGATATTTGGGGCTGAAGAAAAGAGAAAGTGACTCCCTATCTAACTTTTACAATGGAATGATATATGTCTTTAGCTTTTTTTTTTTTAATATTCATTTCTTTATGCATACAGAAATGGGGTATAGGCCAGAGGTGCAGGGACAGTGAGGGGATTTACCAGAGACAGAGTGGGAAGAAGCAGAATAGGCAGACTGAGTAAATACACTACTGTGGGGAGCAGCAGAAGAGACAAAAGAGGTCTCAATTCCTTGTCTTGGGATCAAACGTGTGTTGAAGCAGCTATGGCTGGCTAGCTTCATAGTGCTGTGCTTTAACCCACTGTACCACCAGAGAGGGCCTTGCCCTTAGCTTTTCCATTTGAACATTGTACTCTAGAAAATGACATAATCAATAGTACTTACAGGTGAAAAAGTTAGTACCAATGTGAAGAACATTCTAATCAAAACCATTAATAAACAAAATACTACAATAGCAATGACAAAGATCTAGTAAGAATTAAAAAAAAATCTTTTTGTACAGATTCCACAGCATTTAAGATTTATTAATCCTTTTTCTATGTCTACTGGCCCTGCTATCTGAAGCATTTTCAATGTCTACCAATCTGGTTTGGTATTGTTTTTAATTTATTTCATAGAAGAACTGGGGTGGTGCAGGTGTGAGAGGATTCACCAGAGAGAGTGGGAAGCAGAACAGACAGATGTCTTGAAATACACACTGCTGAGGGGAGCAGTGGGCGAGATAGGAGAGGTCTGCTGGATCATATGTGAGTCACCTCCGAGGCCAAGTATTCAACTCAGGCCTTAGTGGTAATGGTGCTGAGACTTTAACCAAGGCCACTGGGCAACCCCCTCCCCCCCCCCACAAACACACACTATTGCTTTTAGTGCCACCATCGCTACTATTCAGTTTTATAGAGGAAGAGGAAGACTGGCGATACTTATTTTGGCAGTCAGTCCATGTTTTATTTCACAGAATCTATGAAGGTTTCAGAAGTCTGGGTTGACTATTTCCCATATTCAGTGATTCAAAGTGAGGAACCATACCCAACTATATGTTACTAAGAGTAGTAATATATCATTTAGTCATTCCAAAGAATGGTACCCTATCAATCAGTACCTCTAAGATCCAAACCAATCACTGTTTCTGACTTATACTAGATTTATTTTCATTTTTCCTTAGATCCTTGACAATAAAGATAAACATTTGAATAAGGTATTAGTTTTAACTGACTTTTATCAAAAAATTGTGACATTGCTCATGTCCTTTTTATAAGAAAATACAATTATATATGTCAT